GGTTAGGATAATAATATGGGAATAATAATTATGTTTGTGAAGTATAGAGTTATTAGTAGGTAAAGAAGCTACTAGTATTATTCGTGTAACCTATTTAGTTAGTAGAGATAATACTCGTATGAATTTTTTAGCTTGTAATTACATTGCCTTTTATCTAATATTATTTATTCTTGACTCATAAAGAGGGAAGACTAGTTAATTCTTAACTAGGTCCTAGTAAATAGCTAGCTTAAATAGGTAGTAAAATAGAAGCTAGAGGAAGTATATAGGGTAATAAGCTAGTGAAATTTCCTTATAAGGGAAGTAAAAGTAGGGGATTTCCTACCTGAGATATTAATTTCTGGAATAACCTGGAGTATATACTTTGTGGACTTAGAAGAGCTTATATAATTAAGTATCTTATACTAGAAGTCCTATATATAATATTATATAAACGGTTTTATTTAGTATAGTAGAAGTCTCTTTCTTGTTTTACTTCCCTAATCTTTCTCTCTAACTCCCTTATTTACTACTAGAACTTCTCGATATTATAATTAGCCTCTTGCTCTTTTTTTTTTTACTATTAATGAAATCGTACTAAGGCTCCTATATTAAGCACGCGCTTTTCGTTAGCTAACTGCAATACTTGGTATATATTTATAGGTATATAATACATGTATATAGGCGTAATAAAAGTTAGGACATAAATAGGATCTAATACTAGTATCTGCCTTAAGCTACTTATATTACCTTAGAGAAAGCTGTTTTCTATCTAGGTAGCTAAAGTACTATACGAACCTTTATATTATTATAATAGTACTTAGAATTACATTCTATCTCCTTACTATACTATTGCACTCGAATAAGATATAGTGACTTGAGGTATATATCTATCTTATTATAAAAGGTTTGCGAGAGAAGTAAATATGAATAGACCTATACTTTATAATATGATTCCTATAGCTAGTATAGTACTTTTACTTACTTGCCATAATAATATATACTATTATAGTAAACTTTTGGGAAGTATTAGAAGGTTTTCTAAAGCTAGTAATAGACCGGGCTCCGCTATATAAGGTTGTTTTCCTAATAATAGTATATTAATTCTTGTTATCCTAAACTATATAGCTAGTCTAATCTCTGGCTATAGTAACTTAGTGAGAGTTATACTAGCTTCGGACTTTACTAGATTTAATAGTAAGTATATTTCTAAGTCTCTAGATTACCCTAATAAACTTTATTTCTTTCCCGGCGGTTTAACTTGGGAATTATGAGTATACTAGGTAAACTTTGGGCCTTAATATGGCAATTCTAAAATAGGAAATATGGCTTTGTAGTATAGTTACCTAGCTCGAAAAAGAATCTATAATTGGGGTTTATATTTTCTTAATAAGTAATATGCCTGTAATATCTTAATTTTTGAGTATTAAAGAAATAAGAAAGTTATTTAGGAAAAATTAGTAAGTTATAAGTAGAGAGCGGTTTATAATATGAATTTAAGTTAGATTATAGAATTCGAGTTATAAGGATCAGTAATTCCGTAGCTAAGTAGCTCGTTTATATATAAGATTTCTTTAGACACGAGGCATGGGCTATTCTAGTATCCCTATTAGTATATGGGGTTAAGGGAATAATATTATTAAGGGAGTAAATACTAGTAAAAGAGTCTAGACTAAGGTATAGCGTAGCTATATTAATACTCGTACCGCGTTAGCTGCCTAAGGAAACCGGCTTATATATATGAGGTAGTGGCCAGGGGCAAAAGGTTTAAAAGAATATTTAGTAGCGGAAGTCGGGTTTAACCTAATATCTTAAGGCAGACTTAATACTCTATAAAAGGGCCCAAGGATATTACTAATTTGGCTAATAAGGGTCCCGTAATAGATAGGAATATTTCCTCTTATTTATTTATGTGGCTTTTTTATTATGAATTAATATCGTGAGTATTTTTAGTAATAATAAGTATTTTGCTTATAAATATATTAGTATATATAGCTGGATTATAGTTAGGTTAAGTCTATTATTACTAAGAATATTAAGTACTAATTTCGTTTATAGACCAAGTACGTTAGCTATATATCGTGAATTTAGGTTACTAAGATATAAAATATATTATTATTATAGTTTATTTCTTAATAAATATAAATAATTATAACTAGGATATAAAGTATTACTATAATTATTATTTGAATTATTATACCTATATAGATAATAATATTATCCCTGCTATTAGTATTATAGTAGTTCCTTGCCTATAGTTCTTCTAGATGAATTCCTACTTTTATATATTATAGTACTAGAAAAATAGACTAGTAATAGTAATATGACTTCTGATTTTATATATAGTATTTTATCTATTATAATACTTCGAGTTTTCGAGTCTTTATTAGTTACTAAAAATTGAAATTTAATTAACTTATTAGGTAATTCTTGTATTATAAAACTTAGTATATCCGAGTTTATATTAGTTATAGAATATTATAGCTATTACTAAAACCAAATCACTTTTTTAATATTAAACTTTTATAAATACTTTAGTAGTACCTATTATAGAAGCTATATCTTAGTGGCCATATACTTTATCTATATATCTTATTAAAGGGTATTTACGAATAGCTAAAGTTAATTTACTTATAAAGTTAACTTAAAGTTAATTATGCCTTTCCCGTAATAAATAGTAAAGGGAATAGTAGTAGTAAGAGTAATTATACTAAGAATTTTATTAGATTAGAGAATGTCAGGAATTAGAGGCTAAGAGATTAGTATCTTATATAAGTTATAATAGTCATATTAATAGAAACTATATAGTATATAATACTTTACTATAAAGAATATAAGACCTGCGAGATAAAGCCCCTTAGTAGTTCTCTTTAGTATATAAGATAGTACCGGGGAAAGTATAAATACTATAATAATAATAACTATATGAATTATTACTATATTCCTATACTTATTATAAAACTTCTTCCTGGCTAGAAATATTAATATATATATCTACTAAAAATTTAACTCGCTAGTTAGTATAGCTCCTTAAAGAACTAGGTAACTTACTTAATAAAGAATTAAAGCTTTATTAGCTAATAAGAGAAGAATCTATTAAGTAATTTCTTTTTTTTACTAAATAGAAAATACTAAGAGTAATATATTAATAACTAAGAATATTAAAGTTAAAGCTATATTAATTTCAGTAATTTATTTATACTAGTATTATTAGGTAAGAATCTATTTATACTAGTATTACTAAGTAAGGATAGTAGCCTTAGCTCCCGTAATAAACTATATTAAGATAGAGAATACTAGTAATAAAACTAATATAGGCATTTCTCGGAATAAGTAAAAGTAATTAATTTAGATTAGCTTATTAAATACTCTTATAATAAAAACTTTACTAGAGATAGGCGCGAGGGCGCAGGCACTTTATAAGAGGCGTATAAAAGAGTTAGGGAAAGGCTATAAGAGGAACTTGGTACGAGTATTTAATTAATTAGGAATAATTTAAGGCGGGTATATATATATTACCTTATTTTATTAATATTCCTATATATGTTTTCTATCTAGTTTATAGTAATTCGCCTCTCTTATTAAGAAATAACTACGTGAATTATTTCTCGTATTTAAATAGCTAGGATTATTCCTAATTTATATAGTATTAAATTATAGTAGAAAAATATAATAATATTAAAAAAACTAAATATTTTTGGGAACTAGATTAAACTAAAAGAGAAAGTAAGGAAGAGAAAACGGGCCATATATAAATTAAAACTATATAAGTAGACCTAGTAAGATATTATTTCCTTTTTCTAATAGCTAATTAACTAATACCGAGAGATATCTCGCTTAAGAATACTTTACTAGTATTAATAACTAATAGTATAATTAAGAGAAAGCGTAATTATTATTTTAGTAATTAGGAAATAAGAGATATCTTAATTATCCCTAGTTTTGGGCTAGGTATCTCCGTAAGCCGGAAGTTTATATAAGCGAGTACTTATTTAGGAAGATTAGCCTCTTATTACTAATTTAATCCCATTATATGGACCTAGTTTCCTTATTATTTTATTATTTCTTAATTATTTCTTTATTATCTTTTGCCTATAAATTAATTATTATATTATATATTTTTTATACTAATTTTATTACCTATTTCCTACCTATTCCCTACTTACTTTATATATCCTACTATTTCTTTATTACTTATATCTTGGCTAATTACTATCTAGTCTTAAATCTATTATTTTAGATATTATTTCTATAAAGTAATCTTAAGCCTTAGATAAGATAATAATAAAGCTAACTAATATATTAGAAAATACTCGTTTCCCGAACTAATACCTGTATATTTCTCTCGCTATTCCTGTATTATAAATTCTGTTTCTCGGGAAAATTAGTATTTTTAATTATTACTAATCTCGAGTAATAATCTTCTTTTCCTTAAATACCGGAACTACTTACTTTAGCTTAGTACCTGCTTTATATTTTAGTACTATTACTATGTATTTATTGAGTTATTACCTTATTATATTTGTTTCTTAATTCTTAATACCTGCTACTTATTAAGCTTAATTAATTTCTTCTTTTCTATTATTTTATATGCCTTAACCTTGTGATTTATACTATATAAGAGAACTTGGAGATATAAATCTACTAAGCTAATATAACTAATAAAGTACCTATAATACCGGATATCTTACTATAAGTCTATATTTATTAAATATACTAAATACTTACGAGAATTACTATAACCGTAAGCTAGTTATAATTACCTTAACCTAGTACTCTAATACCTACCAAAAACCATATAATAAGTAGTAGTAAAAGTAGCTATAGTGGCTGCCTCTAGCTAAGGAGAAAATGTATTTGATTTTAGATAACCTATAAAACAGGAGTCTTTATCTTATATACTGCCTGTATTTATATCTAGCTAGCTATAGTTAGAGCCGCCTAAGCCAGTTCCTCTATATATTAATACTAAATAATTCTACTGAATTCTAAAATATTATATAGTAAGATAATAATTAGAAGAGGCTTTTTATTTAATATTAAAAGAAAGAAAACCGTACCTATATAAAAGCAGGCATAATTATATAATAAGAAGATCCAGGGGCCCGGATAGCAGATTTCTAATAGCTACTAAAGTAAAGGCAAAAGAAGATAGTAGAGAGGAAAAAAATGAATCTCAGGAAATACTAAAGGAAATATTAAGTATTATTACTAGTATGAAATAAAAAGCCAATACTAATATTTCGGGACCTAGTAAGAGAATAAGAGAAACTCCTCCCTCTCTTCCCTAGATAATAGGCAGGGAGTAAGAATAATTAATTAGTTAAAAGGTAGTTTTTTAAGTTATCTTAATTCGCTTTTTCTTTCTTATAGATTTTAAATATTATTTAAATAAAGCTATTATAATTATATAATTAATCTATTTAATTTTTAATAAATAGAGACTAGATAATAAGTAAAGATATTGCTTAGTATTAGAGTAATAAGATAGAGTTTTAGAGATGAAAATTTCGAGCCAAAAATAACTTGGAATTTAGTTATTAATTCCTAAAGATGTTTTAAATTAGTCTAAATATAGTTTATAATATAAGCTTTATATTATTTTCTTATTTTTATATAATTTATTACTTAGTTATACTCGAAAATTAATAGTATAAAATCTATTCTTGTCTATATTAAATAATACTATTTTGCGAATACGCAAAAAGTAATAGTAAGAGAAAGGAAAATAATATAGAATTATGATTTATAAGTTAATAATTCTAATAGTTTTAATATCTTTAGTATAAGGGCAAAAATTAAAATAGCTAAGAGGAATTATATAGCGACTTTTATACGGAGGGTATAAAAGAGTTATATATAAAGAGTATTTATTATTAGATTAATTTCTGCTAGTATAGTGTGGCTATTTATAGTTTATATTCTTGGGGCCCGGGAATATTAAGTATATTTAAAGCAAGGCTAGTTATACTCTTAATAATAAAGGATATATTAGGAAGATAATAGTAATAACTATTAATATAAAACTGCGGTTTTATTAGAAAAGTTATAAAGCTTAATATAGGTATTTAAATATAATACTAATAAATACCGGGCTAGAAAGTAATAGGAAATAAATCACGCTAGATATTTTCCTTCTTATTCTTAACTAAAGAATAATACGGGAAATAATTATTTTATGAATTAAGTAGTTTAATTATCTGAGTATTAAATCCGCATAAAGTTACTTAAATAATTATCTTAAGAAAAAGAAGTTATATTTTCGTAAAAGTAAACTTTAGGAAAAGAAATAGAAAAAGAATTATAAAGAGCTTTTCCTTTCGTGATTTCCTTAATACTAAGTTAATAGATACTTCGGGTAATTAGATAGCTCAAGTAGCTTATATAATGCCTCTAATAGCGCTTTTTATATACGAGTTAATATCTTTAGATATTTATTATTAGATATGTCTTTATATATAATTTCCTTTATTACTATACTATTACGCCTTTATACCTATTCTCTATATAGCCAAGAATCGGGATTACCTATTCTATACTAGTTCCTAAACTTGGGTAATTAGCTAGAATTCCTCCCGTCTATATAAAATAATAAATCTATCTCTAGAATTAGCTAAGGTATTTTTATATTCTAATTATTATTCTTTTTACTTAAAGGCCTCTCGCTATTCTTCCTTCTTATAATAGTTATATAGCGGGCTATTATAATAGGGCCTACTAATAATCCGGTAACGGGCTAAAATAATTAAAGCAGGCTAGTTTTTTAGATACTAGAAGCGCTATTATATGTAATTTAGGCTAAAAGAGGCTCGCTTATTAATCGAGATTTAGAGGCGGCTTATATTTAGTAATTCTTTCTTTCTACTATTATCCGAGTCCCTATAGCGAGTATAGAAAAGATTTATCTTTAACTAGTATAACCTCCCGCACTAACTTATACTTGGGATATAAAGATCTATACCTGGACTTTAACTTCTTTACTAAATAGACTCCTCTAGTAGCGGGCCCATAATACCGAGACACAAATAAAAAAGCAAGTAATTACTAGTATAGTCCCGGAAATACTATAAAACAATTTATTTTTATGATTTCTTTATTAGACTTTTTCTAAATAATTTATCTAAACCGGGTTATAGCTATTCGGAGTTTAAGGCTATAAAAGTTATATTATTACTAATTTACAAATTGGGGTTATTTACTAAGAAAAATATTAGGGAAGGTGAGATAATTATTAAGTTAATAGAAAGGAAAGTTATAGCTAAGAAAGTAGATACTCTAGAGAAGTATTACTAGGGAATTAGTATTAAGGAATATTTCCTATTTATAATTAATAAATATAATATTATTAACTATATTTATAAGTCTAATACTACCTGCTTTACTAATTATAGCTATAAGCCAAATATAGTAGTAGAGATAATTAAGTTAAGGGAAAAGAATAATATTTCTTACTTTTCGCGGCATATAATTAAAAAAAGTATATTTTTCTATATTATTATTAGGACTTATAAATAACTTTTAAAGGCAAGGAACTTACTCTAAGTTATAACTTTAATCTCGAGATTAGAAGCCGCTATTATAACTTTTATAATTATAATATATTAGTTTATTAGGGTTTTATTAACTAGAATAGCGAGCGAGAATCTTATTAATATTCGTATAATAATTATAGTTATTAAAAGCTTAATATAATACTATGGCAGAAAAAGAAAAGATAACGGGAACGTAATTAGAAAATAAAATAGTAAATATAGCTTATTAATATAGTAATAAAATATATATTTTTAACCTAAAAAGAATTAAGTATTATAACCTAAGCCTAAAACTCCTATATAAAATTATAAGATAAAAAAATTTAAAAAGGCTCTAACCTAGTTATCTAGAACTAGTTCTCGGGATATTAGATACGGGAGTAGTAGAGGTGGCTCTTAATATAAAGGAGGAAGTATTTTCTGGGATAGAGCTTATAGGAAAAGGCTAAGAATATTAGTCTTAACTTCTTTACTTTCCTTAAATAATAATTCCCCAGAACTATCCGGTTTAAGTCTCTCTAAAGTAAATATATAAGTATGGTATATGAACTTATAAATAGCCTAAATAAATTCCTCTTATAGCTTCTTAACTTCTAGCTCTAAATAGGCATGTGTATTTACTAAGTTCACGTAATAAATACCTTAGTAGTATTTAATTAGGGATTTAATTAAGTTAGATATTAGCTTAAATATAATCTCGTACCATAATACTATATCTATAAATATAGTATATACTTTAATATAAATAAGCTAGAAAGCCTATATTAAAGGAATTAAGTTCTTGAGTTTAGTATCCGGAGCTTTAGGAAATATAATAGAGGTCAAGGTCTATATTATAGTTAAAGATAATAGCGTTTTAGTTAGATAACTTTAGTATTATTATATATTATTATTATAATAGAGCTTGGTTATGCGGTTTAGTATTAATATTAACTAATACTTTACCTTAGAATCCAGAATAATAAATAGAAGCCCTGGGCGCGAAAGTAGTAGTAGAAGCTAGTAATAGAAAACGCACCGGGATATATATCTTCTTACTTCCTATAATGGCTTCTAGAATTACAGTTAAATACTATTTAGGACTAGAATAAGCCTCCAAAATACCTTTAATACATGCAAGTTTTCTGACTTATTTATTAGTAAGAGTTTTGAGTTTTATTTGACTTTGCTATTTTATGACATTTGTTTTTAACACGCGAGTATCCTGAGTATTATTCATACGCATTAACATTATAATAATATCCAGGAAGAGGTACGGGCTATTAATTCGAGTTAACTACAAATTTTTCTTTTCTCTAGTATCTTATTAGATTATATAAACATAAGGCAGTTTGTATTAGTTAGCGAGAGCGAGATGTTATTTAGGGATGCGTTCGTATTATTACTATCCCCGCCCCCTTAAATAAATTAAGCAAATATTGAAATCTCGGGAGTATTCCGGTATAGGGCCAAATCCGAGCTAGCCAGCATTCACATGCTAGACTAGGAATGTTTCATGCGGGACATTAGGGGAGTGTTCCATATCCGACAGGCGAGATGCAAAACGCAGCTAATAGCGAGGGGAGACCAGGAAGTCGTATAGGATACTAGTGGAAAATATTTGTTCTGCCTATTTACTACCCTTTCACTACCCTTTCACTACCCTTTCACTACCCTTTCACTACCCTTCCACTACTCTTTTACTCTCCTTTTACTACCCCTTTACCGTCCCTTTACTACCCCTTACTACCCCTTTATTTTCTGGCGCAAATTTATTCTCTAATACTAAAAGGCAAGCGGCTTATTCCGGATTGCAAGAAACTTATTATAATCGCTCATAATATTAAAAGCCAAAAGATATGGCTCGAGGTTTACAAGGGCCTCCTCTGGCCTCGTTTTCTCCGCACTTTCCGTTAAATCACTACGACATCCGAACGGTAATAGAAAAGAGGATATACTATCTATAAAACCGCCTTATCTAAAGGCCACTACTTCTTTATTCTTTTCATATTCTATATATTAGAGAGAACATGTACGGAGAAGTCAGTTACCGAATTCCTCGAAACAATTAAAGAATATAATAAGAGCTATTAATTCAACTTGGACTATAGGACTATTATTACCTTCCGGAATTGGGTAATATTAGAAAAGGGGAAAGTGCCAGGTTTTATTGAATTTACAGACATGTTTCTAGATCCAGACATAATACTTATTAAGCGAATGCTTTCTCGGAAAGGGCTTTAGGAAACTAATAATTAGACAAATATTATAAGTATCTTATTTCCAGATTATATAATCCTATTCCATTAATTACTTTTGAGGATAGCTAAGCATTAAACAGATCTACCTTTCACCGAGCCATGCGCGGCCTTTAACGAGTAATAATTAGTATATAAGCAAGGGCAAGGTATTAAAGAAGTAAACGTAGAGGGTAGGGATACTATAAAGTTTTTAATTCCGAGACTAAGCATTAGAGCAGGCGCGACATACGGCGAGCAAGAGGCTATGGGTACTATGGGGGAAGAGGATATAGCTCCGAATATAGTAACTAAGAATAAGTATAATTACGCAGGCGGCTTTTCAAACTACCCCGAGTCTACTAAAGACCTAACCGCACCTCCGAATCCTATTAGCTTTAATACTCTAATAAATACTATAATAAACTTTATATAGGGGAATTGGCAGGATAAGGACTGGGAATATAGAAAGTTATATTTTACCTAGGAAATCCTTTTTCTTTTTCTACTTTTAGGAACTATAAATACAAAGTTTATTCTGATTTTACTACTTCCCATATCTGCTACCTTTTGTCTTAGCTCTAGTATGTCCGGAAGATTTATTATTAGCCACGGTTCAATTACTTATTTAATTACTTTAGGGGTCACAAACTCAAATATAATTATATCTCCTTTCTCTATTCCGAAATTTAGTTAAGTATCGAAAATTAATCTGCGAGATATATTAGAATAAAGAACTATAATAGTAATAGGAACCTTATAAGCCGCCATTAGCATATGTTTCTTTCTTCCTTCGGCAGCCTGCTATAAGGAGGGCAGATTTAATACCTTTATACAAGTACCTTTTCCCTTTAGTAAAAGGTAACGCATATTAATGCGAATTACTCTAGTATAATATTCGCGATCCCTTAGCTATTAGAAAGACTAATAAAGCCTGCCGGCCGGCCTCAGGTCTACCGCTCCTAAAGAACGAGATATGGCCCGGGTACGCTATGTATTTTAACTAGTATACTAGAACGCAAATTTCGCCGTCGAAAAAGGATTATATAATGGGTATAATTCTCTGGAAGAGATTAGATAGATATTTATAGAATATTTGGTTCTGCCTACCGAATTAAGGACGTACTATTTACAAAAGTCCAGGCCATATTCCGTAAAAAATACGAAGTTCCTCTTCTCCATCTCCAAGATACTATCCCCGACTACTGAGTCTTTTAATTCGGAGTAGCCGGGGCCTCCTTTAAACAGACATTTCGCGACCTCTAGCTCGAATACGGTCAATGCCATATAAAGCTATGGTATGTCATTAGATGAAAATGCAGCGGTGGTCGAAAGAGATGGAAGGTCGGCTGTGTTCTAGCGGGGAATCCAGCTTTATCCCACGTGATGCGGCTGCAGATTACGAGGGGTTGAGGCTGTGTTCCCGATAGTGGCGTGGTGGTGGCGAAGACCGGCGCAGGGCTCCAGCAGAAATGGGAAAACCGGAAGTGAAATAGAGAGCTTTCTTCGGTCGCAAAGTAGTATTGTTCGTACTTGTATTACTAGAGTCCAATATCTTCCTCTTGATCAAAGATAACAGCTTTTTGGCTCTAGAATTTGGGCACCGTTGCAGATGGCCCAAGCTTCTAAATTTGCCGCTTGACTCACATGCTGCTTGATCCGCGCACCTCGGATAAAAGCAAATAAGGCAAGTGGCTTTCTCCGTAACTCGAAAATACTAAACCAGTACACAGAGTTTTAAACTTGAAATCTGAGAAATGTACGGCAGGCACATATATATTCTTTAAATATGTTCGGCACTAAGCGAGGGTAGGCTTTATCGACTCAAGTAGAAGCGCCAGGCTCGGCAACGATTGGCGTTTTGCACTATCGATAACAATCGATGCCACAATCGTAAGGTATCGATTGTATCGATAGTGCAATCGATTATTTAGCGAGCTAATCCCTACATACGTATGATTTTACCCCTTTTCTAATGCCAGAAGATCCAGGAGTTTAGTAGAGTACTATACTATATATAATAAAGGTAAGGCTCTCTCTTATTTACTTATTTAAAGAAAGTATCTAGAACTCTGCTCCTTTTCTAGTACTTAAGGTACTCCTGCATCTTGTCTGGCTTCAAGCTGCCCCCTATTCTAGGTAGCTTACCGTACGATAAGCCCCTGAAAAGACTCCCTCTGGCCTATCGCTCATTAGTACTATTGAGATGATATTAATAGCTATTCCTGTATCCGGTAAGATATAGTCTATACTAGTAAGGGGGTCTATTACGATTTACCCTACCAAAAATCGGCCGCACTCACATATTACTGCCCCTCCTTCCTTTTCTCTCAGTATTTACTCTCTCTTTAATTCTTCTCTCTCTCTATATATATAAAAGTATAAAAGTAAAAGGGGGGATTAGGGGATATTAAATTTAAGTAGTTAAAAGCCTTGGTTCTCATTATTAAAGGCAGGGAAAGGCCCCTTAATATAGTACAAATCCACTAGTCTCCCACTAGCCCTCCCATACGCTGGCTGCCTTGGGCCCATAAGCTTGGCAACTTTTAATGGGGGAGGGGTTAAGAGGGCGAGTATATAAAAGTAAAAAGCAATAAGTGGAGAGAGAAAGTGAGAAGTGAGCTTCGAGGCTTGTGGTCGCGAGGAAAAGGGAGCCCTATAATTATAGGCTGCTTATCGCTAAATTTTAGGGCTACGATCGCTAAATTATAGGCTATAGGTACTAAAAATTTAGTGCTTAGCTTTCGTGGGGTGCGGGGTAATAATCGTTTAGTAATCGATTACCAATCGATTACAATTGATAGCTAATCAATAGTGCACACAATCGATTACTAATCGATTGCTCAGCAATCGTTGCCGAGCCTGATTCTGAAGCGCCGACAAGCTTAAACATTGTCTTCACCTAAAAATAGTCAATTAGGCCGTCTTAGTAAATAATAGACCAGAATTCCGAACCCAGATATGTTTGCCTAGCAGGTACTACTAAAATCCTCCCTGTTCGAACCTTTTCATTTCTGACCTTTCCCATAACTAGGGCATTCGCCCCCTCCGGGTGGGGCTTTGTCCTGGCAAGTTTGGCACTCAACCATCGTTTAATAGAGAGGATACTAATAATAGGTGATTTGCGACTCCAATATCAATAGCGTTCAAGGATATGCGGAGAAAGGTGCCGTCGCTTCAGTGAAGAGAGCCGATTAAGGTGAAAGCCAACTCTCGCTAGAGGGGTGAAGCGTTTAAGTAGGTTTCCCGCGGCATTTGGCTTCGACGGATAACGTCGGTCAATTATCTAATCAATGCTAATTGGCTAGACGGCTGAATCTAGGAGCCTCATATTAGCCGCCCTTGTAGCCTGAAAGCACAGACCCTCTTGCCCCTCTACCCTCTGGCACTGCTATCCTCTGCGTCGTCGATCTGCCTCTATTTAATTCATCTCATTGGCTACGAGCTGTCAGAAGGGGTCAAGATGATTGGTGGTGAAGGATTGGGAGACACGTGTTTGACAGAGCAGTTTTAGACTCCGTTTCGTGGGAAGGCTATGATCGTTTGGCCTCGGGGCAGACCAGGCTCCACCTAGAACCTGAAGGAGCTAAAATTCATGACCGTAAGTCAGTTCCCTCAGCGAATATTTCGAGCTTCGGAAGCAGACTTAATATTATTATATTTCTAACTTAAGAAGAGAGTTGTCTGAACTATAAGAGGTCTATATTAAAAAGTTCTTTAGAAAGCTATTGCACTTCTCATTTCTAAATTGAGTCTTGATAATATCATATAACTGGACTGTTCCATTGCCTCTACGAGTTTAGGGTTGAGAATGCTGTTTAAAGATGATCTTAAGATTCTGATCTAGATATTCTACTTCTGACTTCCTTCCCTAAGCCATTTCTTCGGTCCTTCTCGTACAACGAGCAAGGTCTATGCAGTCCTTCGAAGTACAGAATGATTCACGGTTTCCGGTTGCTCGAACCATGGGTCTGCATCATCCCACGTGAAAACTCCTACCGATCGGGGGTGTATGAACAATGTGCTTAGCGTACGGCTTGAACGAAACTTCTAGAGTGTTGATTCCAAGGCCAGCTCCTCGTCAGCATCATTCTCTGCAGGGTTAGCAAGACAATGACGCGCGACCTCTCCCGGTAGATCATAGTCATTTGCTTGACTTGATGGTTGCGCTCATGGATATATTTCTTGGTAGATAAAGACCGTAGCATTCCCCTTGGATGATGTAAGACATCCCAAATTGTTGCCTCCACAATAAATTCCGGAATTGTATCAGAGATGTAATAAAGCTTCCGATATAGTTTGCCAAGCCCGCTCCCTGGCATCTTCATCATCGCGGTAGCGACGGGGTAGAAGGAGCCACGGAGCTATGCAATCATAGCCGTTCGCTCTTCTAGACATTAGTTGGAATAAAGCAGTCATGCCATCCTTGGTTCGCACTCTCTCGAGGGCATCAGGGTGTATTTTCTTAGAAGCATCTCCCTGTCGCACGAAGTCTAGCAGTAATGCGGCGACCCCAGCGGCAATGGCCGCGGAAACAGACGTACCATCAGAGCGGCGTTTCCCCGCACTTACTCCCTCTCCGAGGATGGCGAAATTCTCGGCAAAAGGGCTGGGCGGTGGATTGAACTTTGAAACATTGAGGTGGCCGTCGGTGGAGAACATGCAGAATACGTTCCGCATCCTGGCTGGATAGGCAATAGGCATATTCTTTCCTGTACCGGCACAAGCAAATACGAGGATGCTTGCGGTTGCCGCCTTGCGCAATATCTTCTCCAAGCGCTCAGTGCGCGTTTCTAGGCCAATCGCGATGCTGATGATGTCGACTTCCTCTCCGATGGCCCATTCAATAGCCTAAAACCTTTAGCAATGAACAATTAATGAGGTCGGGCGGACACCTGTACTCTAGCCATATAATCCGCGGTGTGTTCGTTAGGAGAAGAGCCTGGGGATACAACCGCCACAGAGAGTTCGTCTCTATCATACACTTTCCGGATGAGGTCAAGGGAAACTATGTCAGGGCCACTGCTGTCCACGTTCGAATCTCCTTCCGTGACAAAGTTGCGCCATGTTATTTTCTTTGACTCAAAGTCGTGCGGTAGCACTCCTCCATCGATCACAGCAATCTTCACGGGCGTCGAAGTCTTGGATTCGAGGACCTTGCTCAGAGTGTGGAACCTTTCGAACCATTCGTCCGAGTCGTTTTCCGTAGGCGGACTTATTCGTAGCGTGCTTGTCAGAGAAGCCAGGTCATCCTAGGTCACGTCAGCGAATGTTGCCGTCATGTCGCAGGGAAGTTCGTCTGTCACCTGTTTGAGATCTTGATCGGTGAGGAGAATGTATCTATCGAGGTGTTGCTGTAGTCGTGAGCATGATGATGGAACCCTAAGCAGGGTAAGCTGGGGAAGTGAATATCTACTTTCAACTGCCAGTGGCCTTTGCCGGGATATTCATCAAGTTGCTCTCGCATCGCCCACGGATCGATGTCCTCCGAGTCGATAGAGAACGTGCGAATCGCTCGCATGCCTTTAGAAGCCCACGGGGAAGACGCAGATGGGACCCCCTCTTCGGATTTGCGAGATTCACGCTGGTCACTGTCTTGAGAGTTGGACTCAAGAGCACCTGGGGAAAGAATGATGCCCACAGCACTGGAGTCGGTGACAGAGTCGGTGACATTAGGGGGGGCAGATTTTCTGCCGAATCGAGAGGACCCTGATTTCCGTTTTCCCTTCCCCCACATCTTGAATATCTTAGAAGGCTATTTAAGAATTCCGCCAAGGCGTTGGTAGGAAACGATGGTAGATGATGAAGATGTCAAAGCGGCTGTGCCGAACTGGTTGTCGGGAAGTGGATACCTACCACCTAGCAATTAGGTAATGTGAGAAAGCCTGGCTAGATTCGCTAGCGCAATTTCCTCCCTGCCACGTGCCTACCCCTACATGTTAACCTACCTATAGGTAGACTAAGCTTCCGCCCCCCCTCCGCCCCACCCATCATGCTCAAATACCCAGATCCCACGTTAGTCTGACAGGCCTCGGGATCTACTAGGTAATCCCGTACAGTATGTAATCCCCGCGATGACTAGTAGTATGCTGCCCAAAGCAGGGCGACTGAGGACAGAGGAACATATCAGGGCTTCGTGCGGCCCGAGAATACGATGCGCAACCCGTCGGGCACCTACGACGTCCGCAAAGAGCCAGCCACGGCAGCAAGCTCTAGCATGCCCGGTTGGTTCCCCGACGCCTACTTTGTTTCACACAGCGCCACCACCTGCAGGCTGGTAGCTGGCTCGCAAATGGGATCACTCACTCCTTATCGAATTAATTTTGTGGCTGCCTTCAAATATGCCAACTCAATGCTGCACATGACCTAACAGAGGGGCTGAAAAATGCCTCGTAAACCAACACTCGTTCGGAGGCTGGGCGATGTGGATTGCTCTCGTTGGCACGCACCACTCCAATCTCTTCTTGAATTCCAGGCTCCTTTCTAGTTCAGCGTCCATAGGCTTCACGAGAATTTCTGCCATGGATGCTCTTTGTCGAACGGACGAATTCACTAATAACGACTGGGGATATTTTCACTATCCTAGGACTCCCATAACTCGTCCATCGGATCGTTGTGCCACGCTCTTCCGCGCGAGGAGTAAGGAAGCTGATGAGGGTGATGAGGGTGACGAGAGGCAGGATGGACTTGCTAGGAATACTCCCACGATCTCGATGGATTGGTTGGATGAAAATGCGGAATGGTTTGATCTGGAAAGTCCGGATAAGGTTGTGAGCATTCTGTGCGTATCTTGAAGAATTCTGACGTTTCGTCGCAAAGCTTGGGACTGATATCTAGAATAGCTGGTTCCCCCGCGATTCTAGAGAACTCGATGCACCGTCGCTTCGAAAGATTCCCATCAGCAAAGCCCTGTTCCAGGAGACCGTGAGAAAGTTCCACTTCCATAGGGCCTTGGTCGAATTGCTCAGTAATGGTTTTTCGGCGTTTTCCAGGATCTCATGTACGATCGAAGACCGACCATGCAATGGTAAGTTAGACTTGGATGATCCTGACCGATTGTTGACCTCGTGGGTGAACAAGTCTATACTCTCTGCGTAGAACGCAAGTCGTTTGAGCATACGGCCCTAACTATCACATACTTCCCCAGTACTCAAAAAGTACTCGGCAACAAAACTCAAAAACTCGGCAGCAAGACATATGCCCTGGCACTTGGATTCAACGGTAAAGAGATTGGAGATATATACCAAAACATGAGTGCTGCCCCCGAGCTCATGTTTTCACCTTTCACTTCCATGAAGATCTTCCTTGAGAATGAAAAAAAGAAGCGCGTCGTGGGCTCGGGCCATAACAAAGACAAGACTGAGAACCTCATCGAGGGCCACGGAGAGGTACAGACAGAAACTAATCCGCGAGAGGCCGCAAAAGATACCGACGATCCCCATGAGCTTCTCCAGTCCTACCTCGAGGAACAACATCTGAAGAGTGGACTGATGGCCTGGAAAGCGGAACTCCTTGAGATGAAGAAATTTACTGCGGAACTGGAGGCTATGAGACCGCCCCAATCACAAGAGGCTCATCCCTCCGACTACCTTGACCGGCTGGTGCGTGAGTACGATGTACTGATACAGAATTGTGAACTCGTCCTACAAACTACTTCACTCGCATTTCAAAAGGTACATGGTTCCACTAGCCGTGAATGAGAGCAAACCTAATGCCAGTGGCTCTGCAGGATACCGCCCATCTAGCAAGAGAAGATGCTCGACAGATGAAAACTATCGCTATTCTAACCATGATATTCCTACCGGGGACCTTTATAGCGGTAAGAACGAAGATGCCGCTTTCCTGTTCCTGTTGAACTTTGCTGAAAGTTTCACCTTAGATACTCATGACCATACCAGAGTTTGACTCAATGGGAGATATCAAAGCTGTTCCACGGTGGTCGTGGTACCTGATCCTCTCTCTTCCTCTTACCGCTATTACACTTGGCATTTACGCCATCTATATCTATGCAGATCAAATAAAGGAGGTGTATCGAAAAATAATCAAAGGTAATTAACTATAATTATTTATACTCGCATTTTAAAATAATTTTAATTTAGAAAAGTAGTTTAATATTATAAAGTTACTCAATAAAAGTAAGTAAAGTAGATACCGATCAGACGACTTAAGCTTGCAGCATCCCAATCTGCACTCCGATTGCAGCACGCGGACTGACAAGGTGGCCCCGCCGACGGCTGGTTCGAATCAAGGCGGTGCAATAAAACCACCTTTCAGCAGCCGGGCGACGCTTCGCTAGACGACTCAAGGCGACGCGGCGACGCCCGCGCAAAGGGTACGGCGATGCTCTTGGAAACCAACAGGAGGCGCCAACCTAGCCAAATCTGCCCGAGTAGCTTAAAATGCTTTGCATTCAATCCAGTGGCTTGCATTAGCAGCTTCTGCGATGATTTTCCACTTCACGGCGACGTTCTATCGGGACTTTCTGCAAAAGAAGTCATCAAGGCGACGCTGGGCAAAAAGCAGACTTTGTGAAAAAGTCTTTTGGAGTGATTGAAAGACAGAGCGTCGCCTGGATTACCAGAAATACCTCTTCGCAAGCTCCCTAAAGAGCCCTGTGCTGTTTATGTGGTTTCGGCGACGCACCCCAAACGGCCATGCAAGCCCATCTTCAAGGCGACGCTTGACACTCCCGTCAATTGAACATCGCCTACGATACCCAAGAACATCGCCATGGTCCTCATCACTAGATATACGAGCTTTCCTGCCCCATCGACGAATCTCTTCCTCCATAAAACTTTTCTTCACTCTCACTTTGAAGACCAACCTTACTCCAAACATTCTCCAATTCATTTTCGAGCTTGAAATCTTCACCGCATCCACACCGAAGTAGAGTACACGAAAATGCTGTGTGCCAACCCAACCATGCCGTCTCAGTCAAATCAGCAACCCATCTGGACTCCTCCCGTCATCGCTACAATCGTGTACCGAGTAGTAATGATCATCGTGAGCATAGCCTTCATCTGGAAGAAGTATCGTCGAACTGCACGACGAATTGATGGTAGACCACCCACCCTCCTTCTGCACATCTTCCCGCAGAAATGACTACACTTCCTCTCCATAACAGTTACAACACTTCTCCAACCCCAAGCCTGCTTTCCACCTTCTGCTTTTCAATCGAGACTAACATCTCCCCACAGAAGAACAACTCATCGGCCTCCTCCTCCCAACCTACAACAACCATACACCCCACCGCCCCCCTTCCCCAAACACCCACAACCACACCCGCTCACGAAGAACTTCTCCTTCCCCTCATCCCCTCTATCATCCCCGATCAAATCCACAATCCCAGCATTCTCACCCTCCAACAACCCGCGAAATAATTTCAGCACACCTCGACGACATAATCCAATCCGCACTCGGTCTCTCCGACGATGGCCTCTCTTCTCTCGGTGGTTCGCAATATGGGTCTTCGGTAGATATAGCAGAAGGCTCATCACTTGAGGATATGGGAGTGGATGTTGAGGTTGAGGGTGGAGATGTAGGGCTGAGGCATCGGTCTGCAGATAGTGTGACGGAGCATAGGAAAGTGTTGAGGAGGTGGGACTTAAAGTAAGGACGAGATAATAGAGCGCTGCATATAGTTGTATTGGAAACGGAAAACTTTCCCCGGACAGTCAATCTGGAACATACCTTAGAAATAGAATCACGTGATGTCTCGCACGCTTTCACGGTTCGAGCCAAATGCCCAACCACAGGGAAAGGGGTAAGTTTGAAATGATAGAGCATGATGAATGTGATATTAATCAGCATCAGCAATATCCAACTCTCCAATTTGGATCTATTAAAAGTATGTGTAGCCAAACTGTTCAAGGCACTGATATCATTTTATGAACATGAAGAGCGAGATTAGAGACGCTTATCTCCCAGTCACCTTGCGCTCATACCAGCGTGCTGGCGGGTATACAATAAGAGTCAAGACGCCAGAAAGATAGATGCCGACATCGCCTCCGTAACCGCCGAACTTGGCTGCAATAGGGCCTATTTCCAGTTAGAGAATGTTTGGGGAAACGTGTATAGAGAGAAGCGGAGGTGGGACTTACCAATATACCATGTCTGCGACATGCCTGTCACTCCACCGGCCAAGTATCCTGTCAGCAGCGCCATTACAGCCGCTAGGCCCCAGGGTAATTTATTCGGTACGTCCCAGACCAGGAGGTTGTACCCCTCCTTTCTTCTGAACCACTGATCCTCAACCAGGAGAATGAGCGTGAAAGACACAGTCCAGTAGCCGAGCAAGGACACGAAGTTACTAACGATAGTCGAGAGATGTTGCCGGCCGGCAATAGCGAGAATTGCAATGATGAGTGCGTTGACGAAGGACCAGATGAAACGGGGCACGGCGTGGAAGTAATGGCCCAGAAGCTGCATGCTGAGACCGGAGGAGTAGTTTACTGCGATGTTGTTCCCGAGAACCAAGAAGACGAGCAGGACAAGGCAGAATTTGGAGAATCGCAGTGGGTGGAACGATTCTCGTAGGAGCCCGCCGAGCCCGTGGTCGTTGTATGCTTCTGTCAGGATGGGGTTCACGGAGGAGCTGATAGCTGCGTTTCCAAGGCATACACCAATTACCGTCACGAAAATGGTGGGAATGGAGATACCAGCCAGGGTCAGGAAGAAGATCTTCCACGACTTAGTGTTGGCGGGGTAGTTGCAGTAGTAGTCCGATGCGATAGAGCACCATCCTGAAGCGGACGAGAAGTTAATAGCGAGGAAGCTGAGGAAGGAACCTGTAAATCCTAACCCGGTGTCGAGAGCAGGGATAGAGGGATCCACTTGAGGTGCAACCTCCCCGATTAAGACGAGAGGATAATGACAGTCATTATCCAGGAGTACTTCTTATAAGTGTGAATGAGTGCAAATCCGAAGATGGAGACTACGTAGCCAATTACTGCAATGATGATGCAGCCTACCGCGATGGTCATTGTGTAGTCTGAGACGGCAGAGAGAATTTGTCCGACAACCACGACGTTCACAACTGCGAAACCACCGCCGATTACCACGTTGAGGACGGAGCAGAGCTTTGCGCCATAGAAACCAAAGGAGTAACGGGAGGTTGCAATTGCACGGAGGCCAAGCTGTTTCGGTTTTAGCATTCATCTTGTCAATTGGAATTACTTAGTCTCGATGATGCCTAGAAGGAGTTCCAGATATGTTATTTTAAAATTCGAAAAGAATACAGGTTGCCTCTAGATGAGGATGAACTTTTCCGGTTTCAAGGAAAATTCTAGTTATAGTGTTTAAATACAGGGCCAGTGAAAGGCATTCTAACTACGTAACGCTAGGAAAATCCAAATCTTTTTTACTTGACTGCACGTGATTAGCCAACCCACTTCACCGCGCCGTCTTCCTGTCAATAACGAAGCCGGTCTGTCCCTATTTCACCCCCACCCAATGCTGAAATACTCCTATTTTTAATCTTTTTGCATAGATATTCGGGAAGCGGTGCCGCCCAAGCCGGGCTGGTCAGGCACCCTACTTCTAGTGGGATGCAATATCCACCATTACCGCAGTAAGTGTTCACAGCACATGCTTTACTAGTACCACAATCAGTATTATTATTGCACTCAGCCAAATCGGTATAAAGTTTGTCCTGGAAACAAGTTGGGATATGGTTAATATCTTGGCCACAGGCGCACACTCCGCCGGGGCATGCGAGGAGCTTATAGCTATTGCAAGTGCCTCTAGTAATGCAAGAACTAGATACCGAAGGCTCAGCGTTGGAAATTATAGATAATGCAGGCGCCTGGGATGGGTTTGAGCTTGAAATGGTCGTTAAAGAGACTGCTCTAGTGGAGGATGAGAGGTTGGAAGAGGATGAAGCTTGGACTGTAATGGACTCGCTAGTCTGGCTGTTTTGAGCAATAGGGCTCTGAGAGATTGTAGATGCAGCTACAGGTTGCAAACTGGTAGAAGACGAGATCGAGCTGTTTTGAGTAATATGGCTCTGGCAGATTGTAAATGCAGCTGCAGGTTGCAAATAACTGGCGGAGGAAATCGAGCTGTTTTGGACAGCAGGGCTCTGGGAGGTTATAGAACTAGAGATCTCTGGGCTAAAGGCACTTTGGAGACACGGGCTAGACTCGCACCATTAGCCAGAACCTCACAAAGGTAAGGCACATACCAGTTAATATAATCTACGAAACGGTTATTATTAAGATATAAGACTATCTTAAATACTATTAGGAAGAAAACAATAATGCGCATTAAATGTATTATGTATTTGAGATTAAAAGGAAGAACTAGTGGTCCTAGTATTTATGGCAATTTATTACTTAATATAGACAAGCTCAGGGTTATTCGTGAGATCATTCCCTATTTATTCTTACTAGCCTGCTATATCTTGATCTCTTCTACTTCGTCCCAATGCTACTATTAGGTGCAAAAAACCTAATTAGATAGACTTCATAATATGCTTAGTCTCTTAGTTAGGTAGATACTATATAACCGATTAGTAAAAGTTGTGCTAGTGTGGTTAATTACCGCTAATTCAATAAGGGGTTAATATTCTAATAGTATTACTACTAACTAATAAAAATAATAGGACGAACGGTAAGCCTTATTTATATGTTATTTCCTTTATTTAAAATTTAATAATAAGGTAGATAATGCCATTATAGGTTAGAGGATTAAGAGATAACCTTCTCTAGTTTTATATAGGTATATATTAATATTACGAGGCACCCCGTTTTCCAGAATATCCACTATAACACAATAATAAAAGGGAAAAAGTCATATAAGAAAGCCTTAGGGAGGAAGAAGACTTTAATAAAGAAAGCCTACGAATTGGGGGAGATTTCTGGGTTTAAGGTAGCTCTATTCGTTCGATAACAGGATTAAATTACTATATTCAGATTAATTAATAATAAATCTTGGTGGTTACTAAAGGTCGAAATCGTAAGTTAAGTTAGAATTAGATCTAATACGTAACTAATACATGTAATATAGGATTTCGCGTTCCTTCTATTAATAAATCTTCTACCATATTACTTTGAGAAATAGAGCTATTACTAGCTTTATAGGGCGGGTAGGATAGTTTAAGTTACTTTATTTCTAGGTAAAAAATACAAATATAGTAAATTATAAATAAAGTAATTTACTCTAATATTTATTACTAGTATTATTTCCGTGAATTCGAACTATAAAGATAAGTAAGAGAGAGTTAAACTAGAATATGTATTAGTTATAAAGTAATAAGAAATTCGGAAGGAAATGTCTCGGCTCCTCCCTTTTACTAGAGCTAACGGATTACTCGTGTAAGTAATACTATTACTATCTATTTTTTATAGTATTATAAATTTGAGTAAGCTATATCTCAGAATTCTATTACTAAGTTAATATAGTAAAATTAAAATTAAAGGCTTGCTTTTCTTTATTATTAGAAACCCGAGACCTATATTTAGTTTCGTGAATAAAGCAAATACGTAGTCTTAATACCCTTAATAATATAGCCTGCTTTAAGAAATAATACTATTATTATTAGTATCTGTTTAGTAAAATAGGATCTAAAGTAGCCTTCTTATATTTATTAAACTCTCAAATAATTCTTTTATAATATAAGAAAGAAAATTAAGTATATTTTTTAATTATCTTTTATTATTAGAAAGTATTATTTCTTTTATAATTTCGGCTAAAATAGGGAAGTCTAATAAAACCTATAAAACCTTAGGGCTTTTATATAGGTTATTATACTTAAGCTTTCGAAGATCTAAGACTTTAATAAATAGATAAGCCCTAATTATGTCTTAGGTATAGGAAGGACTAACTAAGCTTTATTTCCTTATCTAAAAATAATTAAACGTTTTTTTATAAGAGATCTTTATAAGAAAGTTTTAGTAAAGAGATATAAGTAATTCCCTTTAGGACCTGTCTTTATAAGTCATGGCCTAATTAGTATTAGGGATATCTGAGTACTTTTATAAGTATTATTACTATCTCCCGCTTCTCTAGCTTATATTCCTGGAACTTTAATTAAGCAAAAGAAACTTTGAGGTATTTCGTAATAAGAAATATTCTATTATTATAGGAATAGATATTATAGAGAATTATAATATTAGGGTATTAGATATAAGGCAAAATTAGGGAATTACCCAGGATATTAAAACTAGAAACCTCTCGAATTTCGGTAAGCTAGAAGAATAATGCTTTGCATAGTACTAATATAATCTAATTGAGATACTAAATATAGTTATAGTTATCCTATAAACTCTTAAGTAATATCCTAAGTATTCTTTAAATCTTTTTAGGCGCTCCTAAATCTATAAATATTAAATAAATATTATTAGTATTATTAGATAAATGACCTAGAAAAGCCTTAGCTTTCTTTAAATAATAGTATACTAGTTAACTTATTATTTTATTATTTCTAATAGAATCTTAAGGAAATAAATACTTTAAGAAAATATAAATACTAAGATAGGAAGAAAGAAAGGCAAGTACTTATTAAATGGCAATATTGGATTTAATATATATTATAGCGGCTATTTCGTAATAGCATGTAATTATTTAATTTATATAATTATTATAGTTATATTATGGGTTAGTTATACTATAGACTTGGGCTTTATTTCAAGCGAGGTAATAAATTTTGGCTATTAATATTTGAATAATTGCTTTCTTCTAGTAACTTACTAAATTAAAGGTAATAATAACGAAATTAGCTTTTTATATAAACCTTAGCCTATATATATTATTCTTATATTTCTTCTTAATACATACCAAGTTTCTATTTCCCCTTATATAACTATTATTATATTTAAAAGCTACCCTATACTTCTAGCTTCTTTATAGCCCTATACTCTATTAAAATAATATAGAAAAGTATTTTTACTAAAGTATAGGAAATTATTATTAATTAGGTAAGAACGAGTTCTTCTTTATTTAGTAAATATCTAATCTAGGTAGCTTCTAGATAAATTAGACCTAGTAAGACTATATAGGGTCTCGAAATACTTCTAGTATACTACTTTCTAATTATTATATAAAATAATTAAGGTTAAAGTAAAAGACGAGTAGTATCTCGTAAACTTGAGTCTTGCTTTATTCCTATAAACCCTTTCTAAGTATCCGGAATATCTCAAGTATATAAAAAATATTTATATCTTTACTCTAATTTATAAAAACATTAAATACTAGTATTTTTATATTTATAAAAGAGAGAATAAGGATACGGAAGCATATAAAGAAGTATATAAGAAGGAATATAAAGAGAAATACGAGGAATATAATAAAGAGAAAGGGAAATATAATTAGCTAGACTATAAAGTAACTTTAAGTACCCTTAGTTCTAGTTTTCTAGCCCTTTTTTACTAATTATAATATAATAGTTTACGTAGCTTCTCGTAAGTATGTCCTTTATTATTTACTTCTTATAATACTAATATCTCGTAGTTAGTAGTTCGGGATATATATATCCTCGGAATTACTTAGTGCTTCTAAGTACTTAGTAATAATATAAAGCCGACTCGAAGCTCTATTACTTATTATAGACTCATTATACTAACTAAATAATAGAATCTACTAGACTAATAAAGTAATTCCTAAACTTACTAAATTTACGTATTTTTAATTAATCTCTTAGCAAGAAATATAATTAAGAAGCGATTTTTTGGCTCTATAAGATGCGCTCGAGGTAAATTTAAAGTATCTCAAAACTTTAGAGCTAGACCTAATTAGATAAACCTTTACTAAGCTCTATTATTACTATAAAAAATAGAGCTAGGACAAACCTTAGTACTTTCTGGCTAATAATATATTACTTATAGGCTCTAATAATTAGAAAGAATTATTTCTATTATTAAAGACCTTATCTCTCTCTAGGGTTTCATATTATATTATAGTATTTGAGATAGTATTAGCCTTAAACTTTAGTAAACTTCGTTTACTAAAGCTAAATAAATACTCGTATATACGAAACCTATTTAAAGTAGTTATATAAGTAAGCTAGCCTATTTAACTTACTTTACTAGAACTAGTTATTAAGGCAAGAAACCTTGGCCTTTCTAATTCTTTAATTAGGTTCCTAGTATTATTTAGGGGTCTTAAAGCTTTTTACCTACTTACCTATAATAATTGAATTAGTAAAGAACTATAAGAAATAATTCTTCTTTACTAACTAATACTAAAGCGACTTATCTATTATAAAAAACTCCCTGAAAATAAAGGAAAATATAATAGG